AGAAGTAATTAAACACTGTTTTTGTTTTGCTTTATTTGTTAGTTTAATATATATACATGTAGTAAGACATACGCAATTAGGAAACCCAAAATACCCAGAAATAAATGATCCGAAACCAAAAGCAAACAATCACAAAATTCTAGTGTTAATGCTAGTAAGTGCTACGTCTTGTATATATATTTAATACAATCAACTTCTCCTAAATTACTTTCTTGATTCTCGAAAGACTCCATGCAGATGCAGGTTTAATGCTTTGTTTTAAAAACCAGACCAGACTGGTTGGACCAGGACCCAGTAGCTTCTTTGGTCCGATTTAGGTTTTAGGGGTTTTTTGCAATATTTCAAAATTATGAGGATTAATTGTAATTTTATAAGGGTGTTTTGGAGATATATCAAAAGTTTAGGGATTAATTGGTAATTTTTTGGGGTATTTTTAGAATAAATAAAAATTTTAGGGACTAATTTGAGCGTTTTTAGGAGAATTTTTGTAATATATTGAAATTTAGGGGGTTAATATGTAAGTTTTTAAAAATAAAATTATCGCTGACATCATCGGTCCAACCAGCCGGTCACAGCAAAACAGGTTGCCCTCCGGTTCGGGTTTTAAAACAATGGTTTAATATGGATATCTTTTAGCTCGAATTATATTTCAGCCCTAGTCTCGGAAACACATAACATCACCCTATTTTTCTATAGCAAAATGTTACACTCACAATCTCTTTTTATAAATGTTCTTTTACAATTTTGACGTGATAATTCATAATTGGTCAGATATAATTTATTAAGTGGGACTCAGGTGAGACTCATTACGAACTGATCAATTGCGAGCTTATAACTGATATTTAATTTCTTTGGATCCATTGCGATTTTTTCTAATAGAACTTATGAAAAAAGAGTTTATTATCGTAGAGTTTATAAAAGTGTAGTTTTGTGAAAATTTTGTTAGTTGTTTGATTAGATAAATATAAAATAGCTTTCTAGTATTAATTTACCAAAAGAAGTCTTAATATACAATAATATATAAAGTCAAATTTACAAAATAGAATTGAGATATTTTTAAAATTTCAACAATTTATTGTTAAAAAAGAGTTTCTCCCATAAATTGTAAAATAATACTAATCCTCTTTTCTAAAACACTTCTCTTCTCCATTCCTCCTAATTAGCCTTGAGCTAAACTATTCCAATGCATCTAAAAATCAACATCAGATAAATCCATACCTCATAATAATTTATCTATCGTTAAGATGTTTTGGTTGGTAACTTGAAGAAAACGCTGGAAGATTGTCATGAACTCTTGGCTGCTGGTGAGATAGAATTGGCTGAGCGTGAAGCAAAACACCAAGCAAATGATTACAAGATCACGTATAAATAATACTATAATAGAACACTGAATCAACAAATTTAGGGTTTTAGGAATACTTGTCTGAGCCATGATGTGTGCAAGGTTTGTTGAATCCCTAACTGGTCTTCCTCTTTTGCTCTCAATCATGACTTTCAAATAGGTAAAGTGTACATTAATCTTTTTTGGAGAGGGGAATTAACCAATATATAATGTTTGATTGGTGCCTCCCATTACGGGCCCAATAAACCCAAAAGTCTACATTTTTACCGTCAAATCAGATTATTCAATAATGAAGTGTATTGAATTATAATCTATAATCATATTAATCCAAGTAAAATTATCTTACTGGACTATGCATTTACTCGGTTTTATTAAATCAAAAATATAATTAATATAGTTAGCCCATAAATAGGAAACTTTGCAACACCGTTTCCATGAGAAGTTTGCCGAGCGGTTAGATCTGTGGTTTGTTGGACATTGGACTCCAGCTTTGAACTCGAACTTTAGAAGCAAGTGAAACTGAAAAATTCTCACGTGCATGGTCCGGTAACTACCTACGGTACCAATTCAGGCTATGGCAAAGAGCGTAGATTGGATCCATCATCCATCTTATGGCTTATGATTTTATGGCCTTAGTTGGTAAAATATAATAGGGCCTCCCGCAGCATATTTTACAATCCTGGAATTTTTCTGATAAAATGTCTACTATCCTAAATGGAAATAAGTTTGAAGGAAGCGAGTAAATTACCAGTAGGTAATTCAAGGATGAAACATAATAATCTTATAAATTTAACTTAAACTCATCAGATTTGTTTTCTTATTTGCTGTCCAGTAGTGTAAAATGTTATAGAGAAATAAAATTTCAATTAGAACTTAAGGCTAGCTTTTGAAAGAGATAAGAAACAGAAAGTCTAATGTGAAAGCGCACCGTTTTGGATTATATAAGGTCCAAAAACTTTGATAATTTACACTTTGATCCCTGCACAAATCTAGAAACTAGAAACTCGAAATTGGAAATTGCCTCTGCTGCATTCTACTCAACACTCTCTCAAAATATATGGTAGGGCAAGTGCCTGCTGATAAACTACTGAGTGTTGAATGATGGACGAATATATAACTAGCTGGTTGTGATTGTGACTATATTTTATGAAAGCCTTCTTGTTGTTGAGGTAGTGTTAGGGTCAAAAATCGTCCTCGGCCCAAATAGGAAAGCAGGACCATTTGTGAAGAGAAGACCAGGCCTAAATCCCAAAAAGGCCGAAGCCATTTTAATCCCATTTGATACGAGATACAGCCTGCCCAAACCATCTAGGCACGGGCCTCCCAGTTCTAGTTCACTTCCTTGGCCTATAGGCGAGTTCCGAGCCCACGGCCCACTGATCATATTCCTGTTCCTGATCAATCTCCTACTCGAAGTCCTTCTCCTGTTCTGAACACTTTCCTACTCGAAGTTACTTTCCTGATCAGAATCACTTTCCTATCCGGACATTGGTAAGACAGCTTACCACGTCCCTAATTCTTCTAGGGTTTCCATCAGAGTCATATTAGGACTCCTACTCCCACCAGGATTGAGAGAACAGACAGTCACTATATAAACAGAGGCCAGCCCTCTCACAAAGGACACAGGACATTACACCTTCACACCCAAAGCTCCTACTCGAGAGCTTTACATCACTGCCATAGTCATAGTCTCCGACTAGACTTCCGATAACCTCTTTATTCCCTAGCCCTCACTATACTAGCCTCTTTCAACCTTGCTGACTTGAGCGTCGGAGTGCCTACGGCAAACACCACCCCGGTATTTCTCGTTCGCTTCACGCTTTTGTTTTTCTACGTGTGCAGGTGCATCGGAGCGTTAGTGGCCTCAACCTCATGGGATCAGACCCTCCTTCCGTACAGGTAGATTTTTATGTCTACAGTTTGGCGCCCACTGTGGGGTCTCTAGCAATCATTCGGCTTGACGAACCCTGCTGCGTAGAGAAACTTTCCATGGCTGGCAACTCCGATAACGCTAATCCCGGCCTTGAGGCCAAACTGGAAGCTCTAACTGCTCTCATGCAACAGAACTTGGACAAGGTGGCTACATTGGAAGTTGAGAACAATGCGATCTGGATGAAAAATGCGTCCATCAGGTCAGAAAACCAATCCCTCAAGGAAACGGTGAGTCAATTCTACGACCTAGAGTTCCTGCCTAGCCAAGCACCCCTCAATCAATTCCGCACCCCTGTTCCGTCCATGCAACCTCTCCTTACGCTGGAGCCCTGACCCTCGGCCTCTGGCAAAAGGCCTCGTCCCTTAAACCCGTCTGCGGTCGACAATTCTGTCCTAATTCATGGAGATAAAGATATGCATATAGAACATCAATTAGCCGATTCATCCCAGCATCAAGATCAAGACGATCCGGTGGCAGAAAGCCCTTATCTACAAGACCAGCTCAATTTAACCATCCCAACACATACTCCACTTGGCTCGGCTCGGCTCGGCTCATCCTCGCGGGATGAACGGCCAAACTAAACCAACAGCACCCGAGCCCATCCATCCTGACCAACCGAATGACTATCAGAGGACTCCCCTGACCATCCATATAGGGCGAAACACTAAAACAGTTACTATGGGAGTCATCCAACCAGAAGGAATGACCAAAGATCTATGCTATCAGGGAACGCACGAAGGGACAAGTCAGACTACCCCAAGAGGGGTAACCCAACAGAATGTACCAAAGTTAAATGCAAAGGCCGACCCGGTCATGCGGGATGACCTAGTGGCGTCCCCTTCTCCTATGGAACAGGTACTAGCCAAGAGATTGGCCGATATGGAAGCAGTGATGCGACGCATTCTAGGAATGCTGGTCCCAACCAAGAAGAGCAGGACCCATTGTTACGTGGATTCACCCTTCGTGGACGAGATCGCCCTAGTCGACTTGCCTTAGAAGTTCACCATCCCTAATATGAAAATGTACGATGGCACAACCAATCCGGATGATCACATAGCCTCGTACAAGCAGCGGATGTTCACCGTCTCAATACCTTGACCGCTTAGGGAAGCCTACATGTGCAAAAGTTTCGGTTCAAGCTTATCCGGCCTAGCACTACAGTGGTACATGAACCTCCCGAACGGATCTATTGATTCGTTCGCTCAACTCACCGACACGTTTATGGAATAGTTTGCCAGCAGCAAGAAACTCGAGAAGCTGTTAGCCGACTTGTACAGAGTATACTAGAGAAGAGACAAGCCATTGAAAGAGTATGTCGACAGGTTTAACAAAGAGAAGATTTCCATCCCTACATGCAACCTTGAGACAGCCGTAGATGCCTTCAGAAAGGGTCTTCTCCCGGACGGAGAGCTATACAAAGAACTTACAAAGCTGGGATGCACAACAATGGAATACGCCCTAGCCCGGGCAGTGATCCAAATAAGATGGGAGGAGGATGAGATAAACCAGACGATTCACTCCAGATACGATTCAAGGCGGAATGATAGGAAACCAGAGCACAGGCCAGCAGAGCACCGCTACCAACCCCTAACACGTAATTCGAGCAAAGTCAGGAAACCGTACGATCGTCAACCAACAAGAACCGAGAGCAGATAGTTTGGATCGAACCGATACAAAATACCGGAGTACAGCCTCAATGTCGAGCCAACCTAGGTGGTCGCGATTATGAAAGGAATGGGATCCATCGTTAAGTGGCTAGGAAAGCTCAATCCCAAGGCAAGGAGAGACAATACCAAATGGTGTGAGTTCCATGGCGATCACGGGCACAACACCGCAGACTGCATCGCTTTACGACTAGAGGTCGCTGCACTTCTAAAGAGGGGACACCTCCGGGATCTGCTAACTGATAAGGAGAAGAACACCATCAGCCATAAGAGTTCAAAAGAACCATCACCACCTCTGCGAGAACCTATACCAAAAGGTTTCTGTTCTCTCATCTCCAGAGGATCAGAGATCAGTGGGGTAAGTTACTCATCAGCCAAGCGATATGCCAGAACCAACCACCAGCATGAAGTCCAGTCCATCCATCCGACCTCACGATCACACACTCATCAGGTAATTCAATTTGAAGATGACGAGCCGATCGCCCTGGCCGCTCCTCATCATGATGCCCTAGTCATCTCCCTGCAGGTCACCAACATCCTAGTGAAAAGAGTATTCGTAGATGGAGGCTCCTCAACGAACATCTTATTCCTCAAAACAGTGAAGGCTATGGGACTAGAAGAGGCAAACATCAATAGGTGACCGACGCTGCTAGTTGGTTTTAGCTTTGAGCAGAAGTACAATATCGAGGAGATCATCCTCCCTATCTACGCTGGAGGAGTGAACAAACATACCATCTTTCTGGTAATCGACTGCCGCTCGCCATAAAACATCATCTTGGGCCGACCTTGGATCTACAACATACGGGCAGTCCCATCTTACCTTTCACCAGACGATCAGATTTCCAACCAAATGGGATTTCCAACCAAATGGGGGGTACGAGAGATCAAGGGTGACCCCAAAACTTCCAGGGATTGTTACAAGAATGCCTTCAAAGGCAAGGGTAATTCTTCGTAGCAATTACAGATTCATCCAACCCTATCGACCGAGCCAGATCAACCATCTATAGAAGAGTTGGATGAAGTACAGATACATCCAGATGATCCCAACAGAAAGACACATATAGGGTCTCGCCTTAAGCCCGAGACCAAAGAAAAGCTGATAGAGTTCCTCAAATAGAACCAAGATTGTTTCGCCTGGTCGCACGCCGACATGACCGGAATCAGACCGAAATCAGTCCGAAAGCAATGGTCCACCAGCTCAAGGTAGACCCAGATCACCCACTAGTGAAACAGAAGAGAAGGAAATTCACACCAGAGCATAACCAAATTGTCAACGAAGAAGTCGAGAAGCTCCTGAGCAATGGTATGATCAAAGAAGTCCACTACCCTGAATGGCTAGCAAATGCCGTGTTGTAAAGAAAAAGAATGGGAAATGGAGAGTGTGCATCAACTTTATGGACTTGAACAAAGTCTGTCCCAAAGATTCCTTCTTGCTCCTTCATATCGATATGATGGTCGATGCAACGGCAGGTCACGAGCTCTTTAGTTTCATGGACACTTTCTTAGGGTACAACCAGATCTTGATACACCCAGACGACCAAGAGAAGATAGCCTTCATCACGGAGAGGGGAACCTATTGCTATAAGGTGATGCCATTCGGCCTGAAGAGCATTGGAGCCACCTACCAGCAGCTAGTCAACAAAATATTCGTCGAATACCTACGGGACACCATGGAGGTATACATTGACGACATGCTCGTCAAGTCACTGATAGCCGAACAGTACCTCAACCACCTCAGCCAGACATTTGCCATCCTCAGGAAGTACAACATGAAGCTAAATCCAGTCAAGTACTCATTCGGGGTCTCGTTAAGAAAGTTCTTGGGCTACATTGTGACTCAGAGAGGGATGGAAATATACTGTCTCCAACTTGTGTGAAAGACATCCAGCGCCTCATAGGACGCGTGGTCGCCTTGAACCGCTTCATCTCCAGGTTGGCAGACAAGTGCCATCTATTCTTCCATGCCCTCAAGAAGTCCAAGAAGTTCGAGTGGACCGCCCCTGACGAAGAAGCCTTGCAACAACTGAAAAGGTACCTTACCTCCCCTCCGCTCTTATCCAAACCTGTGGACGGGGAGAAGCTCTACTCTTACCAAGTGGTCTCAGTGACAGCTATCTCAGCAGTACTAGTTCGAGAAGAAGAAATGAAGCAGTTGCCGGTTTACTATGTGAGTAAGTCGCTCCTTGATGCGAAAACGCGATACAGTCAGCTGGAAAAATTAGCCCTCGCCCTCGTCCATGCATCCAGGAAGCTCAGGCCGTACTTTCAAAGCCACTCAATAGTTGTACTCACCTCCTTCCCACTCAAGAAGATACAGCATAAACCAGAACTATCAGGCTGACTCCTGCAGTGGACAGTAGAGCTTAGTGAGTTTGACATATCATACCAGTCTCGCATTGCCATCAAATCCCAGGCATTGGCCGATTTCATTGCTGACTTCACCCCGAATACCACCACCCAAGCAGAAAGTGAGTTATTGTGCATGAACGGCAGGTCACCTCTAAGTGGACCCTCTTAGTGGACGGCTCGAGTAACGTAAATGAAAGCAGACTTGGAGTAGTACTGATTACACCCGAGGGAGACATCATCCAACAAGCAATACGGTGTGGGTTCAAGTGCACAAACAACGAAGCCGAATATGAGGCCCTCATAGCTGGACTTTCCTTAGCCAAAAAAATTGGAGCAAAGAAACTAGAGGTAAAGTCTGATTCCTAGCTCGTGGTCAATCAACTGCAAGGCACGTATCAAGCACGCAACTCGAAGATGACATCCTACTTGAGCATGGTCAAGGAGATGCAGGCCCAATTTGATGAGTTCTCTATCGTCCAAATCCCTAGAACGGAGAACTCCCACGCTGATGCTCTCGCCAATCTCGGTTCAGCCCTCAAATGCTCTTCCCAGTCGTCCATCCTTCTATTACTCATGCAGTGGCCTGCCAACTGGGAGGGACAACAACCAAACAAGCCGCCCGAGGAAGCTATGGGAGTTGAACTAGTTGACTGTTGGATGACTCCAATAGTGAGATACTTGGAGCACTACAAACTCCCAGCTGACAAGAATGAGGCACGACGACTAAAAACAAGAGCCGCTAGATTCACCATACATCAGGGCCAACTCCTTAGAAAATCATTCTCGAGCCCCTACCTCAAGTGCACAAGCCCAGAGGAGGCCTATCGTGTCCTTGCCGAGTTACATGAAGGCGAATGTGGAAACTATGCTGGGGGACGCAGCCTTGCACATCGAGTAATCACTGCTGGATATTACTGGCCGACCATGCGCGCTGATTTAGTCGCCTATGTGAAGAAGTGTGACAGTTGTCAGAGGTTTGCTCATGTCTCACACCTCCCACCAGAGTGACTCCATTCCATCCTCACCCCTGGCCCTTTATGAAGTGGAGAATGGACATCGTGAGAAAACTACCGACCGCACTCGGACAGCGAGTCTTCATGTTAGCAGTGATAGACTACTTTACCAAATGGATTGAAGCCGAAGCCTTCGCACAAGTCAGAGACTGAGAGGTAAAAGCCTTCATCTGGAAGAATGTCATATGCAGGTTTGGCATACCAAAGGAAATCGTCACCGACAATAGATCCTAGTTCATTAGTTTGGGCTTTAGGGATTTCTGTGACATGTGGGGAATAAAATTGAGCTTCTCGAGCCCCCACAACCCCCAGTCTAACGACCAGGTCGAGTCATCAAACAAGACCATCATTCAGACACTAAAGAAGTGATTACAGAAAGCCAAGGGTGCATAGGCAGATAAGCTATCTGGAGTCCTCTGGTCATACCGAACAACAGCTTGCACATCAACGGGTGAGACGCCCTTCTCCCTTACATACAGTTCTGAAGCAGTCATCCCAGCCGAAGTATCAGTCCCGTCCACTAGGCTCCAATGGGCAGACGAGGAATCAAATGACCAGAACCTTTGCCAAAACCTAGACACCATCGACGAGCTACGCGAATGGGTGAGCATCCGTAACGCAATCTATTAGCAACAGGCCGCCCGACATTACAACCGCAACGTGAGGATTTGGACTTTCAAGATAGGCGACTGGGTCCTCCGCAAGGTCTTCCAAAACACCAAGGAGATCAACTTTGGTAAACTCGGCCCCACCTGGGAAGGCCCCTACAAGATAACCAGAGAAGTAGGGAAGGGTGCTTACAAACTCCAGACCCTCGAGGGCAAAGACATCAGTAACAGTTGGAATGCCGTTCACCTCAAACACTACTATTTCTAGGTGAACTTATATTTTTTCTATTTTTCTTTTTTATTTTAAAAGGGATGAGTGGGCCTATCCACCTCCTCTTGGGCAGTCGGCCTCATGGCCAAATATTAATGAAGTATTATTCAGAAATCTTTCATCTCCAAGTTGACTACGGTCGATCAATTATTGTTAAACACCATCAGATCGGCCATGCCCAACCCACAAAAATGCACCTTCGAATCGACTGAAGTCGATCAATTATTTTTAACACCCTTAGATCGGCCATGCCCAGTCCACGAAATTGCATCTCCAAATCTACTCCCGTCGATCGATTATTGTTTACACCTTTAAATCGGTCCTGTCCGATCCACAATTTCACACCTTCGAACCAACCAAGCTCGGGTCATGAAAACACCTTCGAATCGACCCCATTCGGTTCACGAATGCACCATCGAATGACCCTACTTGATCCATGGAATCGCACCTTCGGATCGACCCTGCTTGATCCACGGAATTACACCTTCGAATTCACCCTGCTCAATCCACTGAGTCACCTCCTCGGATCGACCCTGCTCGATCCACGTTATCACACCATCGGATCGGCCCTGCCCGATCCACAAAGAGACACCATCGAATCAGCTCAGCTCGACCTACAACTTGCACCTTCGCGTCGGACCCTACCGACCCAAGAACTCGCACCTCTGGGTTGACTTCACCCAATCCAAGAGACTTCGTACTCGGTCGGCCAGACTGAATGAACGGTTCTTACACCAGCAATATGCAAAGAACCAAACTAGCCCAACATAAGGCTCACATGCCTTAGCCGCTGGTTTACACTGAAGTAACAAACACAACCTGGTGTATCTACAAGAAAAGAAATAATGAACTCATTCATCCATAAAGGAAACATCAGAAGTTAGAATAACCAAGTACAATAACATATGGCCTCAAAGGGCTCAGTTCAAAATACAAATGAACGGCATACGCCAAGAAAAAGGGCATCGCAGGCCCCAAAATACAGGAAAATACTAAGCTAACTATCCCCAGCACGAGCCGCCTCCTTCATCTCTGACTCAGTCACAATGTCTGCACCACTAGCACCCATCCTAGTAGCTTGGTCGCTCGCATCCCCAACATCTGACGGCCCCAGCTGACTAGCAAGGTCAGGCATCTGCTCATCGTCCTGCATACCCGGATGACTGGCTCCCTCTTCTAGTAACTCCCGCATGAGCTGGATGTCTTCGTCCGAATCCCAGTGAGAAGTCTTCCCTTCCTTGAACTCAGCATGAGTTCACCGCAGGCCTTGATGATAACGTCATTAGCAATAGAAATACACTGCTCCCTCAGAGACTCAACCTCTGTGGTCTTCTCGGCTAACTCACGCCTCAACTGCTCCTACTCACGCTCGCTATCCCGCAAACGCTACTAAAACTCT